GTGGTCTACCTACAGCACGTGGATTGCAGCTGTTCAGGAAGGCAGCTCACCACCCCCTTCTCAAGAACTATAGATGAGCAACAAATGCTGGCCTAGCCAGTCATGTTCACATCCCATGAGTAAATAATATATTTTGTAAAATGCATGCCTTCATGGAAAAAATGTGGGACAAGAAAACAGACTCAAGTGTAGTGCACGTAAATGATAAAATAACAGCAAATGACAATTAATCGAGGCTCACATGTAAAGAATGATGTGATTGCTAGCACCTGATATCTGTAGCCCAGTCTGCCTTTAGAGGTTAATGTTGACAAAAAAGATGTTTCATAGGCATCAAAAGGTCATGGATAACCAAATGCTAAGCCAATGGACAATTTTACCATAGAAGTTATATGTCTATATATAATATATATACTCATATACATATATCATATCAAACCATGGCATGTATTTTTGTAACAATGAAAAACCACTCCTACGTTCAAAAATGGTACGTAAAGCCAAAAGCCAGATGTTCTGCCCCCAAACACAAGCATTTTTGCAGCAAAACAGAGGCAGGTTCCAAATTTCACATCATGGTTTACAGAGGCAGCACCCTATATCAAACATCAGTTGCCTGCAGTCATTCCTGATTGTTATTTGTCAGGAGTAGGGAACACGATCTGTGCATATTAGAATCACAAAGTCACAGAATTATTATGGTGCAGAAGGAGCCATTCAGCTCATCACGTCTGCACTATCTTTCCGACCACTTTGAATTATTAACAATCTGCCATCTTTTCCCCATAACTTTGCACGTTGTTTCTATTTAAATAATCATCTGATGCCCCCTCAAATGCCTCAATTGAAACTGCATCCACCACACTTCCAGGCAGTACATTCCATTTCCTAATTACTTGCTGTATGAAATGGTATTTTCACAACTGATATTTGCTTCTTCTGCAAAACACTTTATGCCTGTGTCTTGCGATTCTCAATCCATTTACAAGTGACAACACTTTCTTCACATCTTCTCTGTCGAGACCCACCATGATTTTAAAAACTTGTATCAAATCTCCACTTAACCTTCACAGCAGTTCCAACTTCTCTAATTCACTCTCATAATTGAAGTTTTTCATCCCTGGAATCATTCTTGTAAACCTCTTTTGCACTCTTTTCAATGTTTTTCCATCCTTTCTAAAGTTGGCACCCAGCACTGTACACAATAGTCCAGCTAATGTCTAACTGGCGTCCTATATTCAGCATTACCTCTTTCCTCACATACTCTATGTCTTGTACATAGTCTATCCACTCTATATTGTACCCTGTGCATGAAACCTAGCACAGTGCATACTTTGCTAAGTTTTCTCTACCAATCCTGCCACCTTTATTGATTTTTGTACATGTGCAACCAGGTCTCCAGGCTCCAGCATTCCTTTTATTACCTATGGCCTTTTGATGTTCTTTGTACCAAGTTGTATCCCCTTACACTTTTTTGCATTGAACTTTATCTGCTACCTGTCTGTCCATTCCACCAACTTGTCTATGTCCCTTTGGAGTTCTATACTGTCTTCCTCACAATTTACAATACTTCCAGATTTGTGTCTGCTACAATCTTTGAAATTGCTGCCTACAAACTAAGATCTAGATCATTTATATGTCAGGAAAGGGAAGGGTCCCAATACCGAACCCCAGGGAACACAACTACAAACCTTCCTTCAGCTTGAAAAATAATGATTTACCATCCGTCTCTGTTTCCTATTCCTCAATTCTGCAATCATGTTGCTACTGACTCTATTACTCTGTCAGTTATAACTTATCTCACAAGTCTGATATATAGCATTGTATTGAATGCCTTTTAGAAATCCATGTACACCATACGGTTACTGAACACTTAGAAAGGTGTACAGATTTTCAAGCTCTCTACTCCCAGATTGCCACAAACATTAATGATTTAATTGAAGTATGCAAAGTCCCTGATTTACCTGCCTGTTTGAATCAAGTTAACAGGAAACACTGATCAGCTTCCTGTGCTTAACAAGAACTACAGTTCATTCCAAATAAGTAAATTCTAATCACAAATTAACATATGGCTCTCCAAGTTGGAACTCTCAACCCTTGTAAACCACTGAGCACACAAACAGACAGGCACAGACAAGCAAAAAGCATTGAAGGATAGAGGGAAAGGAAATCTGGATATCATAATTTAAGAAGATTGTTCCATAATATTTAATAAAAACCAAAAGGCTCTGAGGAAGGATCACCGGACCCGAAACGTTAACTCTGTTTTCTCCTTCACAGATGCTGCCAGACCTGCTGAGCATTTCCAGCACTTTGTTTTTGTTCCATAATATTCCCTGAAATAATCATTTTGGTTAGCCAGAACTTTCTGTTCTTTGATTTTTTTTCAGGTTCCTTCACTTTTCCACAGGAGGCACAAGACATTTGGTATGCTAATTGCAGAACCACTTAGTTACTGTTTAAGGGTAAAATTTATAGCAACTGATGGGAGAAAATATTTGGCCTTAATCAGGCTTCAAGTGATTAACTGCAGAGAGAGACACATACGTACTCTGCCATTTCAAAGGTACAAAGGCTTGTCACTGATTTGTTCAGAATCGCAAGCTAATCAGCTGCCCCAGAACCAATTCGAGAATCGTCATCAGGCTGATTACCTCTGACATCCATGACTGCTCATAATTGCATAAACCAATCAACTACTTGTTGCCAGCCGAAGCCTACACTCCCCCACAACTTGAACAAAGCAGCAAAGAAAACAGCACACAGTTTCAGTAGCTTGTCTCTAACAGCACAGTAATTCCTTTACACAGTCCATGGTTTTAAAACAGTCCTTTTTTACATTTCTGACTACAATTAAAAATACAAAAAACAAAATGATACAATCTTGACAACACCAGCAGTATTGATCTCTTCAAAAACACCAGCAAGTTAGTCAGACATGACCGTTCCTTAACAAATCCATACTGGGTCTTCTTAAGTAACCCACATTTTCCATTTGACTATTAATTTTGTCCTGAATAATTGCTGCTAGCAGTTTTCTAGCAGATGAAGACAGATGCAAAGTAATCATTTAAAATGTCAGCAATGCCGCTTGTCTCCAGTTGTAAATCCCTTCTTTAGTCCCTAATTGACCTTATTCCTCATTTTACCACTCCTTTACTGTTTATGTGCTTATCAAAGACTTTGGGATTTTCCTTTATGTTAGCTGTCAGTCTTACCTCATAATCCATCTTTACTTCTCCTATTAGGTTCTCAGCTCCCTTCTGTATTCAGCATTGTGCTCAATTGTGTTTAACCACCTGATGTTGGTCATATACACACATTTTCTTCTTATGTTGGTCTCTATCTCCATTGTCATCCAGGAAGCTCTAGATTTACTTGTCCTACCTTTCCATTTTGAGGGAATATAACTTGACTGCACCCAAACTATTTCTCCTTTGAATGTAGGCTATTGTTCAGCTACAGCTTTCCCCACCAACCTTTGGTTCCAGTCAATCTGGCCAGTTCTGTTTTTGCCCCATTGAAGTTTATTCTCTACTAATTGATTAATATTATCCTGGGTTGTCAATTATCATTTTCCACTGTCATCCTAAACCTTATGATACAATGATCATTGTCCCCTAAATATTCCTCCCAACTGACTGTTAATGTACTAGGTTCAGCTTATTCCCAGGAACAAGAACTAACACTGCATCCTTTCTTGTTAGACCAGATACATACTGCTGTTCAAAATACTTATGAACACAATCGAAGAAATTTTCCTCTTCTCCACCTTTAACACTATCAGACCTGGTAAGAGCAGTCTAAACTATGTGATGTCCTTTTGAGATGTGGGGTACCCTTTAGGAGAGGTAAGGTACTATTCTAGATTGGTCCCAGGACAATTTAGGGGGAGGTTAGTTACCCTGTGGGAGAGGTATCATGCCTTTTATTAAAAAATTGACGTAATTGTGTGTGAAAAGCACATAAACTCATTCAAACTTTCAAGTTCATTGTTATTGAAAAACATCTTGAAAGACTTTCTTGCCCAGATTTAGTCTTGGAACCAAGAATTGTTCCAACTCTGCGCAACTGGTCCAAGAGTGAAAACTCAGATCAAAGAAGACATTTCCTACAATCTGGATGTGATGGAATTGCACATGTGCCCTATATTTTTAACAATTTCAGCACAGTTTGGATACAGAAGTAAATTCTCCCCAGCTACTTTGAAATTTTAGAACATCTCTTCAGAATTGTTCTTGCATTTCGGCGGAAAGAACAAAGGACACGCCCTGTTGCAAAGTGCAAATGGTCTTCTTTTGTATTGTATATTTCAATGATGCTTGCTGCAATTAAATTAAAATAATAGAATTTAAAATACATATAATTCTGTAAATCAAATCACTACTCATTACAGTTCTTTGGCTATTATAACAATATAATACAAAAATGCATATCAAATGCTGCATTCAAAAATCAGAGCAACAACACTAGTGATTCACCAAGTGAACAAGTCCATCTTCTTTCATAGATAACAAGAAAATGAAAGGTCCAGACCCGAAACATCAGCTTTCCTGCTCCTCAGATGCTGCTTGGCCTGTTATGTTCATCCAGCTCTATACCTTGTTATCTCAGATTCTCCAGCATCGGCAGTTCCCACTATCTCTCCATCTTCTTTCAGTTGTCCAAGACCACAGATATGTCATCTCAATTATATTAAACTGCATTCCATTAGAGAAATTATATTCAACTAAAATGTACTCATTCCAACTATTTTAATAAAAACCAAAAGAAGCTCTGAGGAAGGGTCTCCGGACCAGAAACTTTAACTCTGATTTTTTTCTTCACAGATGCTGCCAGACCTGCTGAGCTTTTCCAGCAACTTCTGTTTTTGTTCCAACTATTTTAATGTTGTTTCTGGATTTACATTTACTGATACAATACCAATAGAATTTCACTTAATGTATTACTACATATCAAAATTCACATTTTTTAATAAAATGTCCTTCCCTTATTCTTACCTTTAGTTGTACCAGGTGAACGTCTACATGTCTATTCCCTGTATCCTGCTGTACAGAGTAAGTGAGATCTCGAACCCGCTCTGACGTCATACGAAGCCATGTTTCTATTTCCGGCAAGTGAAGGACAACTTTCCAGTCTGCTCCAGTGTGAAGTGGTGGTGGTTTCTCATAGCGCAGCATAGTGTCAAGTTCCTTCATCCTTCCCTCATCCTCTGGCTCTTCAAGAGGGGTCATATTTGTGATCATAGGAGATGCATCTGATGTTACGGCATCCAGCTCTTGGCTGCACACTGGGGATAGTACGATGCTCATGCCTGTTGTGCTTAAATCTGGAATGTTCTTGTGTTCAGCTAAAGAGACACACACAACACCAAAAAAAAATTAAAGCTGTCTGCTAATAAAGCTGAATCCAACCTACTTTGATGTCATTTGAATGCAAGCTTACTGGATCCATTTAGTTCAATCCCTTTCAATTTTGGGTTCGCTTTTTAATGTTTTTAGGAGTAATATTTAATGACACAGAGAGTACCAAGATGGATCGGACACAATGAACGTTTTGAGTCCAACATGACTTTTCTTCAAAACTCCTTCAATACCACTAGCACTCCCTTTGTCTTTAGCTCTGGACCCCCTCACCATCCATTCATCTTGTTCCTTCTCCCGTCTTTCAACAACATAAAAAATGCAATTTTTTAGCATCTTTCAGTCTGAAGATGAGTCATATTAGACTCAAAAAGTTGACTCTGCTTCTTTCTCCACAGGTAATGCCAGACCTACTGAATTTTTCCAGAATGTTTTGTTTCTTTTTTTTTCGGATTCCCAGCATCCACTGTATTGTGCTTTTGTATATATTCGTACAGGAACAGATTCAGAGGAGATACAGCAAACCTGTTTTGTGAGACTACTTACAGCAAACCACTCCCTTTCGTGGAAAAAGGAATAACTATTTAAGTGAAAAGCTTCCATTCAAGTCATTCATGCACATGTCTGTGCTCATGAATAACATGCAGGTTCAATGGATTTAACCTCTGTGAATATGCTTACACCTCTGCTCTAATGATTTCAAAGAAACATAAAGACCCAAGATGGTTATTATCCTTTATCTAAAAGCAAAATACTGTGGATGCTGGAAATGTGAAACAAATACAGAAGGCTAGACAAACTCAGCAAGTCTAACAAAGTCTTTGGAGAGAGAAGTAGAATTAATATTCCAAGGCTGGTATGACTCTTCTTCAGAACTGAAAGGTGTTGGAAAGCATTTTTTTAAATATACTTTTGACAGAGGTAAATGAGGAGCAAGAGGCCAAACAGCACAGAGATCCAGTGCAAAAGATTGTTCGTGATGGTGAAAAAGAAAAAGAAATGTAAGATGGGTATAAATTAAGGTGTGAAAAGGAGAGAATGGGTCCTCTCTACTAAGTGGAGAAGTCACAAACAAGACAAAGCTGAACAGAGGAAGTGGAGAGAGAATGTAAGAAAAATGGAGCATAGACATAATACGGTCAGTTTCTGAAGTTATTGAATTGAGACGTGTGAAGTGTCTAAGTGGAAAATGAAGTGTTATTCCTTGAGATTGCACTGTACTTTTTTGGAACATTGCAGCAGGCCCAGGCCAAAAATGTGAGCATGCAATCAAGATGGTTTATTGACATGGCAAGTAACTGGAAGTTTGGGGTCATTCCAATGAACAGAGGAGGTGTTCTGCAAAGCAGTCACCCAGACTGCACTTAGATATGCCAATATAAAGGAGAACACACTGTAAGCAGTGACTACAGTAGACTAGATTCAAAAAAGTACAAATAAAACGCTGCTTCACGTGAAAGGTATGTTTGGTGCCTTGGCCGATGAGGAGGGAAAAGAAGAATAGGCAAGTGTTACACGTTTGGTAATTGTGTGGGAAGGTGCCATGGGGGATTGAGGAAATATTAGGAGTGCTGAAGGAGTGGACATGGGTGTCACAGACGAAATGTCCTTATGGTATGCTGATAAGGGAGGGGAGTGGAAGATGTGTTTGGTGGTGGCATCCTAGGGGAGGTACCAGAAAGGCAGCGAATGGTCCTTTGGATGAAGAGGTGAGTGGGGTGAGAAGTGAGGACAAGGGGAACACCATTGTTCTTCTAGGAAGGAGAGGGAAGAATGAGGGCAGATTTGCAAGACATGGGTTAGACACAGCTGAAGGCCCTGTCAACCACTATGAGGGTAATCCTCAGTTAAGGAAAAACAATGTCATGTCAGAGGTAGCCAAGTGGAAGGTGGCATATCAGAACAGAGATGGAAAAACTGTTAGAAATGAATTCCTGCCAGAAACAGGGTGTGAGGAAGTGTAGCCAAGGTAATTCTCACAGTTCTGTTATTTCTTTTTGAAAAATTTCTTGTTCCTAAGGCAGAGACACTGCTGACAAGGACATTCATTGCCAAACTTTAGTTGACCTGAGAAGATGGTTGTGGAACTTTTCCTTGAATTATAGCAGTCATTACGGTGATGATGCAAGATAGTGAATAGAGTATTTGCCCTGAGAAGGAAGGAACAGTTAACACTATTCCCTTTTAAGTTTACAATGCCAATTAGAAAACAATTCTGTAGAAATGTATAAAGACCATGTTCATTTCTTGATATTCATTCTTCCTAATGTTTCATTTTGACATAAACAGCAAAAAAAAGTTTAACTGTTTGTGATTTAAGAGTTTTTCACTGTTAATTGAGAGGTAATATTAAATACTACAAATGTCAAACCCTTTGACTTTGTTTCACATAAATACACTGTGGAACTTCAGGAACTACACATACAGTTAATTCCCAAATTTCCAATAGTTCGCAAAAGTCTCAGGTTGCTGAAATCTGGGGGTTTTGATTTATCGATTAATCAGCAATAAAACAGCCCCTTCCAACCTTCAGATCCAACAGCCACACATGAACAAAGATTTAACACTAAACTTACACTGAATTGTCTGTGCAGAAAGGTAGTTTCATTAAAGGTGGGAGAAAAGTTCATCAAAGAATAATAAAGGCAAATGGAATCCTTGGTTTTGTGTTCAAAGGTATGAAATTTAAAAAAGCAAAAGATAATGTTGAGCATATTGTTTGGCTCCAGTTTGAAAACCGAGCACCATTTTAGGTTTGAAATTAAAAGACACCAATAAAAGCAGTGAAAAACCTGCAACATGGATTTACTAGGCTGTTATCAGTTATGAAAGATAACAGTTCTGAAAAGAGATTTGAAAAATTAAGGCAATTTTCAGGGAACAGAGAAAGCTGAGGGTGGCATAAGACATTTCAAGATAACAAAATATTCAAAGAGGATAAATAGTGACACATTGTTCTCACTGGAGAGATGGTAGCATTGCGGTAAAGTCACTGAATTAATAATCCAGCAAACCCATGTGAATGCTCCTGGGACATGGGTTAGATTCCTGTCATAGTGGCTAGTGGAATTCAAATTTAACTTAATCTAGAGCTCTAGTCTCTGTAATAGAGGTCATGAATTTAACTGCAAAAACCCCATCTGCTTTATTCCTGTTCATTAGAGAAGAACAATTGCCATTCTTCCCTAGTGTGGTCTACATGTCAGTGCAAATCCATAGTAATGTGCTCAACATTTAACTGACCTTTGAGATGTTCTAGTAAGCCATTCAGTTCAAGCGCAATTAAGGCTGTACAATTAATACTGGCCTTGCCAGAAATGCACGCACCCAGTGCAAGAAATTTTTGTAAAAAGCTTCGTAGCAAGCGACATAAATGAAGTAGTTACAAAATAAATTACAGAACAGTTTAAACCTGATTACTTTACTGGGAATGGTAAGAATGTGATATTCTCCATCCACAAACTATTGCTGAAATTTGATTCTTTTAAAAAGGGAATTAGTTGCTCCTAAGAGAAGAACAATTTAGGCCACATAGACTAAATAGAAAGTAGATTTAATTAGTCTAGTGAAAATCACATTACAGACAGGATGGACCAAATCATCTGTTTCTGTGCTATAACATTCTAAGATTACGTGGGCCTTGAAGATCAAATAGCCTGGGCTTGGAGGCAATAAAAGACCCATGTGTCACAGTTTGGACATCACTGTGATATAGTATTAATCGTCAGACTGTGACCTCTGAGATAAAGGGATTCGGTAAGGAAAACTGATGGGATCCCTGAGGTTTCCAAATTTTTTCTTGCTTGTCATCAAGTTTCTGTATTTGTCTGTGTCTATTGATGCACTAGATGGTTAATATCATCTTTTGCAAGTTTAGTTATTTTATTCACAGGAATTTGTCAATATTTTTAGAGGGTACATTGAAATATGTCAACGATTCAGGAAAATATCTATACGTTTGTCAATGATTGCATGATATCTTAGGGAATTTATCATTATAAGCAGGGACCTCCAATGTAAAGAGTTGGAAAAGCATTGTTATGCAGATACATTTATTATAGAGCTCATAATCATCTAACTCTCCAAGATATCTGTATTTTTAATGCTAGCCTCTTGAACATCTCCAATTTTAAGCTCTCCACCACTGGTGGCCTTGCTTTCAGCTGCCTAGGCCCTAAACTCTGCAATTCCCTTTCTATACCTCTCCACCCCTCTATCTTTTTCTCCTTTTGGCCATTCCGTAAAATCTGCTTCCTTGACCAAATGTTTGGTCATTTGGCTTAATATCTCCTTGTGTGGTTCAATGTCATGTTTTGTTTCATAATGTTCCTATAATATTTTATTGTAGCACATAAATACTTATATAAATGTAAGTCATTGCGCTTGTTGTTCTACATGTTCCTTAGAACTTCCTCGCCCCATTCTGCACAAGAATCTCATGATCAAATACTTTTCGTCATCATAGTTTCCCTATGGTTTTGCAATTTTTCTTAAGATATCATTTATTTACACTTATGGTGAAATAGATTATGGCACAACATAAACCTCTTTGACTTCCTTTACCTATCCATTCATACTGAGTGTAAAATATTCATTTGCTGATTTTTTTAACTGAGTTTAGCTTTTTTTCAAAATCTTTTATAACTTGCCCTATCAATCTAAGGCACTTGTTTTTAACATATCTCATTAACTCACCTGTAGTTTTCACCAAGACTGTTGTTCAGCATTGACCACTGCCTGCTGCTTATTTCTGAACAGTATTTTTTCTCTATGAAGATTGTCAGGTTGGTCTTGATGCTTTTCTATCTGAACCTGAAAGAATAATAAGTAATGATTGAAAAGTGAGAATGAGTTCAGTGCACTATTCTTCAATGTTTACAACCTGTATTAATGATTTGGAGGAAGGGACCAATTGTATTGAAAGCAGATTTGCAAATGATCCGAAGATAAATAGTAAAGCAAGATCTGAAGAGGATAGAAGGAACCTGCAAAGAGATATAAACAATTCACACGAGTAGAAAAAGGTTGACAGATGGCACGTAACGTGGGAAACTGGAATATCAAAATGGTAGGATGAATAGAAAAGCAAAACAGTATTTAAATGGGAAGAGACTAGAGAACGCTGCAATGCAGAGGGATCTGGGTGTTTTTCTACATTAGTCACAACGACTTAGTACACAAGTGCAGCAAGTCATTAAGAAGACAAATATTGACCTTTATTGCAAAGGAATTGGCATGTAATGTAGAAATTGTTTGCCACAACTCTACAGGGCATTGATAATGCACCTGGACGACGGTGTAGTTTTGGTCTTCATGCTGAATAAAGCATTAGAAGCAGATCAGAGGAGGTACATAAGTCTGATTCCTATGATATAGTCATCATTTTATGAGGAAAATTTAAGTGGGTTTCACTTACACTCTTCAGAATTTGAAAGAATGAGAGGTGATTGCATTGAAAGTTAGAAGATTCTGAGCAAGCTTGACAGGCTGATTGTTGAGAAGATGTTTCCTCTCATGGGGAAATCTTGAACAAGATGACACATTTTCAAAACAAGGGATCTCCCTCAAGGGGAATGATGGGAGGGGTGATTTTTCTTTTCCCCAACTGGCTGCTGGGCCTGGCTGGAAAACTTACCAGTGATCTGCTGTAATCAGTTGTCAAAGGTTAAGCTTTTTCAGCTCCAGCATGCACTCTTAAATGTACATATTTGGCAGTCCCTAAGCCTTTTCTGGATAGAGAATTTTTAAGCATGTATAAATAACCAGTGCAAAATACATAGTAAAAACCAAAAGAACTGTGGATGCTGTAAATCAGGAACAAAAACAAAGTTGCTGGAAAAGCTCAGTATGTCTGGCAGCATCTGTGAAAGAGAAAACAGTTAACGTTTCGGATCCGGTGACCTTTCCTCAGAACTACCATCAGTTCTGACTACAAAATACATAGGGCTGATTTAATGGCCTGCCCACTGATATGTTTGAAGGCAAAGATTGAGGGCTGCAGGTAAAATACGATGCACGACCTTCCCATCAGTCCTTTGCCTGTCTTCCATTTAACAGGGGGCAGGAAAGGCTTCAGGCAGCCTGACCATAGTAGGGGCTGTTAAGGTTCTGAAGTAGTCAATTAAAGCCATTTAATGTCACTTCAACACACCAGCCTGTTCCCTGGCCAATATCTCTGTCTCAGGCTCACTGCACTGCTGCAGCGAAGCCTCAGCATAAGCTGGAAGAACAACACCTCATTTTCAGCTTGAGGACTCTGCAGCCTTCTGGACTCAATATCAAGTTCAATAACTTTAGGACTTGAACTCTCCTATACCCTACGCCCCTCCCTCCACCCACCAGGCCTTGTGATCACATAGTCTCTCATTATACACAACCCATTGTTAGTCACTAACAGTCTCCATTAACAGATACTCACCCTCCTAGCCAGATCGTTATCCATTCTTTTGTCTGTCCAACTGTTCTCTCTCTTTGGGCTGTATCGCCACCTATCATTTACTCCTTAACCCCTCCCCCACGCTATTTTTTGCATAAAAACTGACATTTTCCTAGCTTCCATCAGTTTTGAAAAGGGTCACCGGACCTGAAATGTTAACTCTGATTTCTGTTCACGGATTCTGCCAGACCTGCTGAGATTTTCCAGCAATTCTTCCTTTTGTTTCTGATTTACAGCATCTGCAGTTCTTACAGCTTTTTTTTAAAGGCATTTAAGTGTCTCATTATCCCTTCTGCCAGCCCACACAGACACATACACATTCACGCTGACACACACACACACACACATACACACACACATACACACACACACACGCACACACAGGCATACAAACACACACATATGTACACAGACACACACCATTATTTTATCTGCATTGGGGGAAGACCTAGGCCATGAATTAGCCCAGGTGATTTCACTGTGTGGGCTATTGCTGGGACAGAAGTGTGGGAGCCTTCTTTTCTCGGGTCTCGGTGCCCATCAGAGGCAGCACCAACAAAGTCATACTCCCATTTAACCCTCCCCAGTTAGCCTCACGAACTCAGTCCCCGCCGTGCTTACCCTTCAATATTTCAGGCTTACTCTTCAGTCTGGGCCCCATACCACCTTCCTTGTCAAACTCCCTATTGTCCCAGCAGTGTCCACGACCTGCTGCTGCTGGCCCTGCAGACCTGTCATGCAATTGGATTAGTTGCCAGCCCAAAAGGCGAGGATATTGTCCCAAGATAGAGTCATAACTCTCAACCTTAAAGAACTAACAGTCTTTATACCAAGGAATGTGAGGCACCTGACCTTTGGGTGGGCCATCACTTACTGACATTTCAGACATGTCGGCGAGAGGGATGTACAACCCCGTTAAATCCAGACAATGGTGTTATTAATATTAGCTAGTTATTGGAAATTAGTCACAAGGAAAGGTAGCAAGATTAATGAAAAATCTTTTCAGAACCAGACATTCTGACTTTTTTTAAAATTCAAAGTGTGCAATTTATTGCTGTGCTTTAATCCAATACTATGCTAGATGCAAGATAAATCTGTTTCATTTGAATTGTACACTAGGGTTTGCACCGGAAGTATACAGCTTTGGTCACGTCAGCTGACAGAGCTAAACATAGAGATTCAAAGGCATTCTAAATATTGCCTACAAAGTAAGCAAATGAAATAAAACAGGAGCTGGCTGCAATCCAGCAACCATTACATAAATAAGCCAAAAGCTGATAGTATTGTCAAGAAAGCAGCATCACAGCCTTTCAGTAATCAATCCTACCATGGAGACTGAATGAAAATTGCCTTACAAATATGTACACCTATAGATGTAAAATCACAAAATGATATTCATTGCATCAGTCCATGACACAACTCTCATATAAATATTGACAATCTACATTCTGAACTCCTTTTCAGTTTGTCATGTGTTAACATTTTGAATATGTGATGAACAGAACAGTAAAGATATTTACAATACAGTGAATCAATTTAATCACCCTATAAATTAGCATTTGTCCTGGCATTGGTATCATTGGAGGAAAAGTGCCCTGACAAATATACTGAGCACATTTCCACGAGGCGAGTTTTTTGAAATCTGCTTTGTTTGCATTTAAACCTGAGATATCCAGCACAGACATAGCCAGCCTAGACATTGCTCTGTTTAATCAGACAAAGATTTATTTTAATCAGGCCACACTGAAAGAACAACAGGACTTCTCATCATTTAGTTTTTCTTTCCCAATTAAGAACACAGATTAATAAACAAATTCCACATAAACATTTGCTTTACTTCACAGATCAGCATCAAACTAGGTGCAGTAATCTGACTTCCAAGAAACAGATATACAGCTTCCCTCTTCACTATCATTTTGCTGAACCAATGGATATAAAAATCAAATTAGCCCAGCAGCAGCACATTAACTGATATTGTGCCAACAACTGTCATATCCCAACAGAAACGGTACGGTTGAATGCCATTTGAGACATGCATTGTCTTGACCTTTGCAACCAGCTGACCTGTGTCATGCCTCTAGATCCTGTAAACTGCAATTCCATTCTAGCAATGCAAATAGAAAAAGCTCCCTTCTATTGGGTGCATGCCTTAGAATGCTGCATGTTTGTATAGTAACACGCACAGATTGCAGCAAAAGCATGAATCAACATGCAGAGGTCAGATCAATTCACATAATTTAATCAAATATTATATTGTGCAAGGTAAATCAAAGTACATACAGCTCTGATTAAGGAAGATGAAATGAACATAATTGATGACCATTTGGATCATTATTGATGCTTTTCCCCAATCCATCATAGCACAAAGTTGCATAGATTATAATTTTACTTCAACACTGGAGCCCCTTAATGCTCAGTTATTTCATTAAAAAAATTAATGAAACAAAAAATAACAGCAATGGAGCTGTTAGTTCTTCTTTCCGTCTTCCTCATTTTTTTTAGATGATGTGCAGTCTTTGCGAGGGATTGAAGCTAGTCAAGGGAATTAGACTTTCCTTTCAATCCTTTCTTTCTCTCTCTCTCATTTCCCCATTTTGATCTTGTAAGTTTGTTAGATACAAAGCTTATCTGAGCACATAAACTGGATGAATATACTCCATCTTACAGTCACAGAATTGCAAGAAAATAAACAGCAAGCAGTAAGCTCATTCATGCATGTTTAAAATGGAACACGATTGCCTGCTTTCAAAGAAAATATTAACTTGAAGGTATGAGAATGAGAATTCAGAGCAGATTGTCTGATCGAAGAAAATAAATTTCTTTTTAATGTTCTGATGCAATAACTTAATTGCCAAACTGTTCTTCATATGTTACAATTACTCCTCAATACTATCCATTCAGTAAAACCAATCGAAACCAAAAAAGAAGCTTTCTTAGCCAACAAATGACCACTTTAACAACAACAACAACAACAACTGACCTCTTTATTCAGGCAGATTAAAACAAAGTAATGGGGTGAAACATGGATCCACTGGCCTGTAAATCTCAGTGTCCTAGCTTTCTTCATTCCAGTCACTCATGTTAATGATTACTGATCAGCCTTGAATCTTTCTGATTCGAAGGAACAAATATTCTACACGACTGACTGTGGCAACATGCAGAGAACCGACCATCAACACTGGCTTGGTTTGTTTTCAAACCTCGATATGGCTGCAGTTCACAAGAACAAAAGAATAAACCTTTCTCCAGCAGCTGTCATTCACTTACAGCTTCAGCTACAAAAACATGACTTTAATTCACATTCGGTTTTGAAAGGCCACATTTCAGAAAAAGAGGGACTCAGAATGAAATGGAATAGTAAGGCCTTTTTAAAAGC